ACTGTGAGTCTTTTTCAAATTGTAAAGCACATTTTACGTTATGTTAGTAGCTCAACAGATCGAGGCATGCAAATCTTGTCCATGTCAACTTTGGACATGTATGCCTTTTGTGATGTAGATTGGACTAGTTGCCTCTTGACTTGATGATCAACTACTAGATTTTGTACTTTCTTAGGTAGCAATTGTATATCATGGAGTATGGGTGAGCGGTTGCAGGTTCTACCAGGTTCCGAACGAGTTCCACCTAGAACGTGGAACCTATCCATGAGAACAGGCTCCTCATTTTTTTGGAATCTGGAACCTACCATACATACCTTGGAACCTGGGACCTACCCTGTCACAGATTCTAGGGTCGGTTACAGGATCTACCCACCTGTATTATTAATTAAACATTCATCTTTAATGACCATTGCTTGCCGCTACGATCCACTGACCACAATTTATATTTAGAGACATGAAGAATATGAAACATTAACAAGTCATAAAATGAAAGTTTTGACTAGTGGTTCCAGATTAAACACTCATCATCTAACGCCATGGAATATCGCAGGATCACGCAAAGACATAAATCAAGAAAAAACACAAAAAAATTATTTAAGGTTTCAGGTTCTAAGTTCCAGGTTCCACCTACCTAGAACCTGGAACCTACCCATCGAAACTGGTTCCCCAATTTTTGGAACCTGGAACCTACCATGCATACCTTAAAACTTGGAACCTGCAATGCATACTGTCACGCCCCGACCCTCGAGCGCACTAACATCCCACCAAGGTCGTTATAAATGCGACGTCCCAGGATGCATCGCTGACCCAATCGAATTACTAACGATTAAACGCATGCGGAAGCGAATTAAAAACTCCCAATCATAGCAACAGGGATAGTCAGGAAAACACACCTCAATTCAAACAACATCATCAGCAATACATCGGGTTAATATATTACAAGAACACCACGCGGACCTTCCCGATTACAACCAGAACAGGTACGGGTTAACCTAGCTCCTCTATCTACGAGGATAACCTCAAAAAGTGTTCTCCCTCAAAAAGCCGGTTCCCAAGGAACGGTACGTGTACTCATATCGGATGACCTGAAAAGTGGTTAACAACAACGAATGAGATAAATCTCAGCGAGTTCACGACCTAAGCCTCGACTAGGAGGTCAACTCATCTCGGATGTACCTAACACATGCAACGATACATCGATGGCAGACAACTCAATATAGAACATACAGGTACTTCACAACACAATCACAGGCAACCTTACCTTGCCCTGGGCACATGCACACGCCCTGTACGTTATGATTCACCGTATGCCATAATAATGCAATGAGCATATAATACAATCAGAATACGCATCAATTTTTCCAAGTACAATGCATTCACACGTGTCCTGATTATAAAGTGAAACCGCTTCGGCCCGTCCCATAACGTGTCTAACAATTTCATTCCATAATCAAGCGCAATGCTACCACAATTTTTCACGGGTATTCCAATTACTACAGCCACACCAGGGGCTACGGCACAACCCTCGTTATTCGCATCAGGTTGGCGATCTTCCGGCATAACCGGGCATCGTCCCGCCCCGTCGGGCACGGCATCGTCTCACCCAACCACAATGACGGCATATCCCATAAATGGGTTCATTCAGAATCCGATTCGCGAATGACTACGTCTCCCCTGCTACCAGCGACGGCTTCCAATTACCAAATTGGGGACACCCGTTAGGGCCACGGCCAAACCCTAGGTTGGCGGTCATCCGGTATACGGTTTTCCGATATAACCGAGCACGAAAGGAACCTTTAGGTGATCATGCACACATAGCAATACTCAGGTTCCATCATTATAATTTTTAATAGCCGATGCAAACATAATCCGTGCTAATACGTTGAAATATCCAACTTTCACACATAAAAATGTACTAAAATATTCACACGTGATTATGCACATATCAATAAATTCCCAAACTTGGCATGCTTCTATATTCAAGTATCCACAACATATTTCTCACATAAAACTTAACAAATAAACCCGACACCTCAGGGTTTATTAATTAAGTACCCGACATGCTATACTTAAAATTAACCAAACAATTCAATTTGGCATACAAACCAATATATAAGCCAAATTCTAGCTTAGGCATCACAATTTAAGCCTAAAATAAACACAATTTAATTTCGGAATTTCCATAAAAATATTAATAAAATAATAATATTTTTAATTCCGAAAATTAATAAAATATTATTATTTAATTTCCGAAAATTAATAAATTAATAATATAATTAATCCAATAGATTATCACTAATCCTAATCAATTAGTACTAAGCACAATTAACTTAAACTAATCCGCTCTAATCAAGTTTAACCTACTAAGCAAGGGATTAGTGCGAAAACTCACCCGTTTAAAATTCCGGAGACACCGGTGCGTCGGCGGCGGCGAGGGCTATGCTTTGCACGGTCCGGAATTGACACGGAAAGACAACGACGACTGGGTCTCGGCTGGACAGCAGCCACAGAACCGGTTTGGCTTCAGTGAGGCGATTTGGCGACGGAAAACGGCACGGACGGGTTGCGCACGGCGGCAGGGAGTCACGGCGTGGTTGTTGGTTGCTCCACGGCAGCAACACAGCAGCAACACAACAGCAAGGGGGCTGTTCTGTTTGCTTAGCCGAAGGAACAACAAAAAAAGAGAAAAGGGGAAGTTGTCGTGGAAGAGGAAAAAGGAGAGAGAGGAATGGACGCGGGAGGGAGAAGAGAGGGAACAAGAGAGATATTTCTCTCCTTTAATGCATGCCCTATAAGTCTTCATCATCATTCCCCCCACATAAATGCCAAACCCCCAAAGTCTTCTTCATCATTTTCTTTGGTTTCTTTGTCATAAATGCAAGAAGGGCATTTTGGTAATTTCACAAGGTATAAAAATACTTATACGCGTATACGAGCTAGAATTTCGTACGGGCTCGTATAATCAAATTTGGGCTCAAACGGATTATGAATGGGCTTGAAAATGCTAATGGCCTCAAACTTGGGCTTAAATTGAAATTGGGCTTGAAATTGGGTTCAATGGGCTAAATTGGGCCACTTGGGTTTGCCTTGGGCCCATGTGGCCGAATCACATTGGGCTTGAGGCCCAATGTGCCTTCATCCGGCCCACTTCCTTGTGGGCCCCAATTCTCGGCCCGCTAAATCCTTTTCCGAGAATTTCGAGTAAACCGATAAACGAGCAAATCAATGAGGCGGTGTCCCATAATTTAGTTTTGAAATCCTCGAAGATTCGACATCCAAATTCGGATTCTAATTCGTGGTAAAAATCAATCAATTACGACTTTAGTATATCTCAAACTAACAGGCGGCTTTTAGGAGTTACGCGAATTCGACCCGTGGTTGATTCGGTATCAAACCACGTTTAAGTTTTCTCGAACAATGGATGATCTCGATTGTCATGTAATTGCGAGGGATCAATCGTTAGTTCCAAAGTACGCGATCATCAGTCAATGGGTTTAGAATCGTTCGCAATACATACAACGGTCAAGCGGAATCACCCGCGATCCGATTATATACTATTGGCGAATCATTTTATAACCATCCCTTGATCGGTCTATAATGGCTCAAAATTGTCCCTCGTCAATCCTTATGGTCGAATTATCAATCCCTGATCGAGTTCTCAGGTCGTGCATATTTAATTCCTTAACAGCCATTCCCAATCGGTTAGTCTCTCATGAGTGATCAATTCAGAGCGAGAATTACTAATAGTGCATCGATTAAAATCATCATTTCATTACATTCCGAATAGGGTCGAATTTGAGGATGTCACACATACCTTAGAACTTGGAACCTACAAGTTCCCACCGGTCAGGTTCTCGGGTTCCAGGTTCTACCCTAGAACCATGCTCACCCCTATCATGGAGTGCTAAGAAGCAATGAACAGTTGCTTGATCTAGTGCCGAGGAAAATTATCGTGCAATGGTGTCTACAGCTGTAGAGATTACTTGGATATCATTCCTTTTGAGAGATTTGGGTATTCATTTGTCAAGTCCACCAATATTATTTTATGATAATATCAGTGCACTTTATATGTCGATTAATCAGCTTTTCATGCAAGAACTAAATATATCGAATTAGATTATCATTACGTGCAAGAAACAGTGACTCTTGGAACACTTGTGACTAAGTATGTTCAGTTTGTGCATCAAATTGTTGATCTCTTCAAGAAATCATTTCCTAGAAATGCATTTGGAAACTTATGTCGCCAATTGGGAATTTGGGATTCTCCTATTCCTAATTTGAGGGGAGTAAAGGCACTGATATATCAATCAAGGAAGAATCAATCAAAATCACAAGTTGATTCTTGGAAATGCTAAAATGAAGGATGTGACAACTCTTGTAATATATAATGATCTCTTCATTTATTATTTTCCATTATTGTATTGTTTGCTTACGTCCAGCTACCTCTGCACGAGCAATTCACAATCATCACACGAATAGCTCACGGAGGAGGTTGCGAGAAAGGAGGAGCAGGGCTCAAGTAACCTCATCGGCGTGTGTACATGGATGAGAAAGAGAGAGAGATAGGAGGCAGCAGGGTCATGACTCATGGTGAATGGAGTCTGCCACAACTTGCGCGGCGCTGGATGGTGGTGAGATGTCGCATTGAAGTCGAGGACGGGGAAGAAGAAGAAGAAAAGGGTGGAAATTGAAAATAAAAAAGTAAAATTCAAAAATAAAGAGAAGAGTACATCTTGCTCATTGAAATTCAATTTATGTTAATTTGTTCTCTTCGTGAACGGAGTTCATTTAAAATGAAAATGTAACTCTTAAATCTAAAAAACAAAAAAACCAATCCAATTTAAATGCTTGAGATTTTGAGAGTAAACGACACATGCAAGTTTGAGTTCTCTATGAAATTACTCTTCTATGCATATTGTAATATCGTCTCCAAGTCCAATATGAATTTCGCAACAACATGGTAAGAAATGATTGAAGAGTCAAGCGCTGTAGTGAAACCATCAATGGGTAACCGAGAAGGAGAAGTCCTCCACCGTCGTTGCCCTAGAAGAGTACAAGTCTCCTTCACTGGCAGAGGAAGAGTACTCCTCATCGCTATCCCTCTCCCTCAGCTCCTCAATCCTGTCCATGGCCTCCCTCAAACTCCACCTCCGCTCCACATTCCACTCGCAGCAGCACATGCCGATCTTCAGGAGCTTCAGCATCTCGCCCTCCCCGTTCTTCGTACCCCTCATGTCCTTGTCGAACACCTCGCCTGTCCACTCCTCTCTCACCACCGAGTTGACCCACGTTGCCAAGTCGGCGTTCGCCCCTTTCCCTTGCTTCAGATAGTTTGCCGGGAACTTCCCGGTTATGATCTCCAGGATCAGTATCCCGAGGCTCCACACGTCGGTCTTTCTGGTCGTGCAGTCGCTGTGGTTGAACTCAGGAGACTTGAATGCCACCATGAACTGTTGAGCGTGGTCCTTGTTGATCACGGGCACAAGGCCGTAGTCCGTCAGGAGAGGCGTGAAGTTTCGGTCCAGAAGAACGTTGGACGACTTGAGGTGACCGTGGGGCAAGGAGAGGCCGGGAAGCTCCTTGTAGAGGTATTCGAGACCCTTTGTGACTCCCTTGATGATCTTCAGACGGGTCGGCCAGTCGAGCCCGGGTTGTCCTGGACTACGATTTGCTACAAAAAACCAAAAGCGAATGCTGTCAAGATTAAATAGGATAAATACATGTTCAACACTATCTATTTAAAGACATAATTTATATAGGGGTCAACGAGATTACTCATTTATCATCATTCCTAGGGGCTATATACATCCATACATGAAGAAATAAACTGTCTTGAGTGGCCTATGTAATGATAATCCGATGCTCATTAAGAACCAAGAAGACATAAAAACTTTAGTTTCACCGTACATAGTAGACGTCAAATAAATTTCTAGTTAATTAATTTGTTTGTCCCAGAGGAATTAATAAGTGAATTCTAATTAATGCAACCGAGTACATACCATGAAGATGGCTGGCCAAGCTTCCATTCTCAACAAAATCCGAAATCAGGAGCTTTTCCTCTTTCCTGTAGAAGAAAGCTACTAGAGAAAGCAAGTTAGGGTGAGACAAACTCCCAAGCCTCCTCATGTGCTCGTAGAACCCCTCCTTCCCGACGTTGTTCATTTGCCTGAACCGCCTCACAACGACCGCGGGCCCGCCCAGCAGCGCTGCCTTGTACGACGACCCAAAGCTCCCGCTGCCCAGGACCTCCGCGGAGGCCCGGAGCAGGTCTTGCAACTCGAATCTCTCCCGGTCGCTCCTAACAAAGACCAGCTTCCCTTGGTGATCTCCTCCTCTCTTCTTCATCTGCGGCTGCTGGTCGTTTATCTGGGCGTCCCTCAAGCCGGCGTCGTAGGCCCCGAATCCCCTTTCAGGCTTCAGGTGGTGGGTCCCATGGAAGTTCGACTTCTTCCTGTACATGACGATACCGATGACAACCAAGGCGACGAGTGCAACGGCGACTCCGACGGTGATGAAGAGCATCTTCTTGAACGATTTGCACGGGGAAAGAGGCTTCCCGCACAAGTGTTTGTTCCCTGCTTGATCACAAGAGTCCTTCGTTACATGTCTCGCTCGTTCTAGATACTCTAGGCAAGCTAAGAAGAAATTGGTTTACACTCATCCACTAGGACCACTACGTCTAACCATGAGTGAAATTGAAACTGATTTGGAGACTTCTTATATCTCGACCGTACACATGACTATATATCAAAGCTTCTGAACAGCAATTTTGTTTCCACTGACAGTGTACAAAATTAAAAACTACAGAAAAATAGTACACGATATATATAAATAAATACAAGATAAATCTTAAAGTTTCATGTGGTCCGTCAAAATGCAAACCTAATTTGATCAAGTCGCACGAGGTCGTCGTTACAAGCCCCACGAGAAATGCAGCTTTGTTGAGTCAATAGTCGACTTTGTCGATGATATATATATAAGCAATGAAAGAAAGGAAATATATATATATATATGTTGAACGACGTGCAATGCATGAAGTACCTCTTGCAAGCATGTTTTAGCAAAAAAAAAAAAACCTCTTGCAAGCATTTGGCGTTCATCATCAAGGGCAGAGGATTTCTTCTTCTTTTTTGTTCTTTATTGCATAGCTGTCGTTGCATATAAACGTTGATTCAGCTATTACTAAGAAGCTTCACGGTCCAAAATATAAAACCATCATCAATTAGAAGCTTTGAATCGATTTAGGGCATGTAGCGCTCCATACATGACATGTCTAAGTATTAGTTAGACAAGTATTTGAATCTAATAGATAGCGGAAAATTGCTTTTTAGATAATTGACCTAGACAAGTATCTCAGCAAAATTATGTAGCTTTACGGGGGGGAAAGTCGCTTTAGCTCGACTGGTGACAATTTGGAAAACAAGCAATGTATTTTGAAATTGAAAAACTATACTCCGAACAAAAGGATCGCAAGAGGTGACTTAGTCTTGAAAGTTTTTTATGTAATCGTTATATATAGCACAAATAGTCTAAAACCTCAATATTTGTTTGTCGTTAAGACGAAAAGGATTTACTAAAATCTAAAGAATCTTTCTTTTTGATAATCCAAGGTCACAGGGAGGAGATCTGGTTATTAGGAGACTTATGAAATACCTTGCAAACCCCGCGAACCGGTTAAATCCAATCCTTTGACCTGTGCAAACAACCCTGACACTACACAATTTGCACGAAATTGGTGGTATTCGAACAAATGACCTCCAATTCCCGAGTCGAAAATACCCAATACCCCAACCAACATCGCCAAAGGGATTAGAGAACAAAGACATTGCTTAGGCGTCTCCTTTCCAACTAGTCTACTCATTTTAAAACTACTTACCTCCAAAATATGATTAATAACGTGGGAGGTATCAAGACTTATATACTAAACGAGTTTACTAAATGACGTGCCGAATTTTTGTCGGGTGCTTAAGAGTCATCGTCAAAAAATTCTCCACGAACGGCCTCGTCTACAATCATAAGTTGATGGTGTATGCCAAAAAAATCGTTAAAGATGAGAAAAATAGTGATCACCTTTGAAGTAGGAGGGGCTCATCTTGCTAAGCCCCGGAGGTATCTTCCCCTCGAACTGGTTGTTGGCCAAGTTCACCATCTGCAGCTCCATCTGCCGAAAATCCGGTATCTTCCCTCCCATCTGATTCGCCTCCAGGCTCAAGTTCACGAGCCTCGGCAGGTTCACCAGCGACTTCGGAATTGGCCCAAAGAACCCGTTCCCGTCCAGGTACACCATCCTCAGCGCCTTCATCCCGTCGAACTTGTCATCTGGGATATCCCCCGTGAACTGGTTGCTCGACATCATCAACATCTTGAGCGCCGGCAGTTTCTTCACCTCCGGCATCGGCCCTTCGAAGCCGTTGCCCTTGATGCTCAGGACGCGGAGAGAGGACAGCTGGGTGAGTGAGTCCACGTCAATGAGGCCCCCGAGGCCCATCCCGTCGAGCCTGAGCTGCCATACGTTGCCGTTGAGGCACGACACGCCGGCCCAGTCGGTCTTGTTGCCATTGCATGGGGAGTCGGAGGAGCTGTCCCAGTTGCTCAGCGCGGTAGCGTTGGAGAGGGAGCCCTTGAACCTGATCAGGCTCTGGGTCTCACCGGCACTGCAGGTGACGACATTGTGGGCGGCCAGGACGAGGACCGCGAGGGCCGCGACCACAAACCGGTGGGGCTTCTCACGCTCCATGGTCATGAAAGGAGAGAATGACTGTCGATATGCATGAACATACGGGATCTAGCTAGGGTTAAGGAAGGGGGACAGAGAGAGAGAGAGAGAGAGGGAACGGATGAGGGATGGAGAATAGGGAGAGGGCTAAAGACGTGAAGAGCAGATGAAAGTGGACAAATGGAGGGGTGAGACTGACGATGTGTTTGCTAACAATGAGAGCTGCTTAGCTGTTTGGCCGGCCGAGTCTTGATAATTCAAATTTTTCTTTATAATTTTATCGCTTTTGTATATGATTTTATTGATCCCTACTTTGCTGTGTTATGCGAGGAGCTTTGCAGCTGTTGTTTTCTTGTTAATTGTGGGAGTTTTGTTGCTTTCTTGATCGTCACGAACGCACGTATAAGATACCATTTCGTTGGGTTTTCAACGGAGCTGTTTTCTGACCGCGGAGGCAATAAGCTTGCAGGTGCCGGTGATGGCGTTGCTGTTTGGACTCTTCGCTGACCTGAGGTCCATATGTTTATAGCATACGATTTCCCGGTGGAAGATGCTTCCACCATTACGATAATTCGCGTGAGAAAATACGCGCTGTCCTTGCTTATGCCGATCGGGACCGGTAAAATCCTTCGATGGGGCACGTAAAGGGCTCCTACCCTTGGCGTCGGGTAAGCCTGGGAGCGAAGTGATGGCGATTCGAGTTCGGCATTGATCCGCCGAGTGAAAAGCCCCAAGCCATCTATCTTACTTGTCTAATTGAGATACAAATTGTTTAGACACTTGATGCTTCATCTAAGATTTTTAATGTTTAGCCAGGTTTGACTTGACGCCTTACTTCATGAAATATCTTAGGAAACTCCCAAATCAGACCACGTTTTCCTAGAATTCTAGTAAAAAAATCTTTTGATGCGTTAAGAACTATATCGATTGAACTTATAACGGATGACATATCAAATGTCAAAGTTTTGGTCAAACTTTAGCGACTCAAGATATAAATTGTAAATTGATAAGCAAATCGTGTAAGCACTTCATATTTTGTCCAAGAAATTACAAAGTTCGACCCAACTTAACCCAAGGTCTCTATCAACCAAATATAGGGTTATTGGTTTTGGAAGTTTTGGAATTCTATCTTTGGAAGTTGGAAAGTTTTCCATTTTATGTATTTCTTTTCTAGCAAGTCAAATCTTGTAGTATGTACTCTTGAGTATATAAATAGTCACATAAGTTTAATGGAAATATATAACGATTTTTATCTTAACATGATATCAGAGCCATCTAGGGCTCATGGCCCCTTTTCAATCCTAGCTTTCTTCTTCCCCTTTTTTTTTTTTTTTTTTTTGCAATAACGATGGTCGGCATGGCTCTTGAGAATACCGCCGCCATGACCACCATTACAAACCCTTCTTCTACACTTCCTCCATTAGGATCTGCTCACCGCTTCCTTTCTCTGCGTCTCATAGCATCCAATTACTTGATATGGAAAGCACAGATTATCCTATTTCTCAAGGGACACAACCTCTATGGTAATGTCGATGGGACCAAACCATGTCCCTCTGATGCAGCCCAAGTAGCTCTTTGACAACAACAAGATGACTCCATCATGAGTATCCTAATTGCATCCCTCTCAAAATCGGTATACCTCTCATTCTTGATAAACCAACTAGCAAAGTCATCTAGGATGCTCTCAATATCTCTTTTGGCTCAGCTTCTGCTACGCCTATGCTCTCTCTTCATCTTAGTCTACAACATCTACAACAGAAACAGGACAAATCAGTTAGTGATTTCCTCTAGCGTGCTAAGTCCATTGCCGATGAGATGGTAGTTACAGGCAAGCCTCTTGCACCAGAGGATTTCAATGTTCATATCTTATGTGGTCTTTGATCTGATCTCTAGGACATTGTTCCTACCTTACTTGGCCATTCCGAACCAATCTCGTTATGGATCTTCATGGTCTTCTCCTTAGTTAGGAGAGTATTTAGGCATTCCAAATGTGGCAGATCTCCAAGCCATCCTCTCAGGCTAATTCTGCTACAACCAACTCTACTCAACGAGATTCCTCCACCTTCACCTCTACCCTTCTTAGTTCGTCTTTCTCTGGCTATGGTCAATCCAAAGGTCATGGGGGTCACAGTAATCGATTTGGTGGCAGAAGAATACCACAAATGCCATAACTATTGTACGACGCTCATTTGAGTGCTATAACTTTATTTGATCACTTGAGTGCCATGACATATAAAGAAATGTTCACCTGAGTGACATAACTTTCAATCGATCACTTTAGTACCATAAATTTAAAATAAAATAAAATAAAAAGTTCACCCAAGTGTCGGAAATCTGACGTGGCATGACACTTGTGGTAAATGTTTTTAAAAAGTTATGGTACTCAAATTATTGAATGAAAATTATATGGCACTCAGGTGATTGAAAAAAAATTATAGCACTCGTACGAAAGTTATAGCACTTAATTGATCAAAAAATAATTATAGCACTTGAGTGAGCGCCATACAAAAGTTATAATACTTATGGTGTACTTTTCCCTCAATTTGGCCATGGTCGTGGTGCCCGTGCTGCTCAATTTGTCCACGTACAAATCACACCGCTACCACATGCTATTATTGCTCTCCTAGTATGCCTTATTACCCACCCCCACACATACCCCTCGTATACCTCATCTTACCAACCTCTTAATCTCCCAATTCCAACCTAAGCAATGCCCTTCCCCTTTTTCTACCTTCACCCACCACACCTCCCTCCAACATCCTACATTGATATCCTAACACAGGTGTCTCCCACCATGTCACGCCTGATATACAATCCTTCTTTTCCTATGAAGCTTATAATGGATCGGATCAACTACACATAAGAAATGGAAGGATCTCAATATCACTAGTTAATAGTATTTCTTCTATTCCCTCCTCTATTACAAATCTTTCTTTACAATTAAATGATATTTGTCATGTCCGTGATATCTCTAAGCGTTTACTTTCGGTTAAAAAATTTGTGACTGACAATAATATCTTCTTTAAATTCTATCCTATCTATGGGTGATCAGTTTCAAGGTGGACGGTTCCCACCTTTGAACCACCCATCCTAAAATCGGGAATCACCCGCTAAAGTTCGATTCCACAAAATGGGAATCGAGAACCGCCTGTTGGTTCCATGGACTGGGGATCGGTTACTGGATGAGTCCATAGAACCGGTCTAGTACCTAATATCTACATAAGCAAATTATCTTTGCATCACTTTTGTTACCCCCAAAATTAAAACTCTGCGGTCTCTCATCGGTGGCCTCCAGATGTTCTCTCTCTGTCTCTAAGTTTGGAATAGAATCCATCTTGGCCTTGGAGAGTCACGTTCTCAAGCAAACAAGCAAAGCAGGGGAAGGGAGTTAACGGATGAAGGAATTTACATTGGGGAAAGCATAACGGTGGGCGTTATTTACGGGATCTGCCTCTATCACCAACCCAGTAGTTTTAACTTTTGGATTTGATTCGAGAGAGAGGGGGTCTTCTAGTTATTCAAGTCAGATCAACCAATGAGTTTGTCTCACCTCCATTCAGAATCGATGGATGCCCTATGCATTACAAAGAACAAACACTCTTGAGTACAAAGGAGGAGCACCAGCACATTTTGAACTTCAAATGCTATGACCAAAAAATAGAAAAACTTCAGATGCTATTACTATCACTCGCAAACTACAGTGAAAGAAAAATTACAGCATCTTAAAATGATCTATAGATATCCAATCAAATGAACCGGAAGTAAATATTCAAAATCCAAATCCCCTTTCCATTCTTCAGGCATCTTATTAAGAAAAAATCATAAATTTCGAACCAATTTAGAACCACAACGAACGAAATCCAAACCGGAAGAAACTCAAGATGACCTCTCCCCAAACTCCCCAAGCGGAAAAAACAAACAAATCTGATTCACAGTCACATATCACCCTCTAGTGATTAAGTGAAACTTGAAACAGAGCAGAGGGGGGAAAAAGGGACCAAAGTGGAAGACAGAGGACTCACTCAAAGCCTGCTTTGCAGAGAACCACCTATTAACGTCCCGACATATTATCTTCCTCAGAAGATCCTTAACATCCGCCGACACACCCTGATATGCTTCATCCGAGAGGCGACTGAGAGCGAGAATGAGAGAGGGAGGAAGCGATGAGGTCGGAGGCCACCGAGAGCAAGAGTGGAGAGAGGGAGGTGAGGCCACGAGATGAGGCAAGATACAGAGAGAGGTAGGAAACTAGGAATTAGGGTTTTCATTTAAAAATATAAAAATTAGTATATATATGTGTATAATGGTCTAGTCCAGATGGTTCAGGTGGGCAGTTCCATTCTAGAATTGGAAACCGCACCGATCCCCATGGGAATCACCAGTTCGGTTTGGTTTCAGGCTGTCCGAGTGGTTCCCGGTTCCTTTGCACACCCCTAACCCTACCCTCTTTCTTGTTAAGGATCTAGTGACCAAGGCAATTCTTCTTTCGGGCCCGAGTAGTGATGGTCTTTACACCACACCGCAACAACCTTCGATGCCTACTGCCTGTATTACGGAATGAACTTCCATGGATGGCTGGCATTAACGTCTTGGCCATACCTATGAACATCTATTTCGATTTATGATCAAAAAGAGTAATTTGTCATGTCAGTCCACACGGTTGAGTCAATTATGTATTGCCTATCAATTCGGCAAGCTAGTCGTCAATCCTTAGGATTGTCTCCAACTCGTAATTAGTTTTCGTTGGATTTAATTTATAGTGATATTCATCGTTATTTCGTTATTTTTGTTGATGATTGCTCAAAATTTATTTGGTTTTATCCTCTTAAAGCAAAGTCGGATGTTTATTTTGTTTTTTCTTACTTTCCAAGCTCTTGTTGAACGTCTTTTTTCACAAAAAAAAAAATCCGTTCAAACCGACTGGGGTGGAGAATTTCGCAACCCCCCCCCCCCCCCCCCCCTCCCTCCTTTTTCTCAAAAATTGGTATTGCTCACCGAGGGGCAATCAAGGGTCGTCATGGCCATATGGTTGAAACCGGTTCAATATTATTTGCTCATGGTGTTGGAGAAACATCTCCAAAT